ACATTCCTTTCTCCCCCTCTGCAGTCCCGAACTCTCCCCACTGCTGAGCTGTCTGTACATAAGCACACGGGAAGATCAAGCAGGCTGTCCCCATCATCTATCTGCCTCAGAGCATGTACAAAGTACCCCAAATCACCGCATCATCTCTTTAAACCTGCTCTTCAAGCAAAGGCAGTCAAGGTGGTGGTGCTACACTTCTTTTCATGTCTATGTGAAAACCCACACTTTCAGCTACGCAACAAACTTCCCAAGCTCCCTTCCCACTCCTAGGATGACATTTTACTAACCCTCAAGTTTCCAAAGGGAAACATCCTCTAATATTCAAAACAATATAAACAAACTTTGTAACAACTACTACCAACAGCATAAATTGTCTCAAGATTGTATGAAGCAGCGCAGGGTTGTTTTACAATGATTTCTTGAAGGTTTCTGAAAATTCTTGCATGCTTTTTCCTTCCGTAACCTTGGAACTAAAAGGCAGTTCAAGCACTACAAGCTCTCACAGAAGCCAGCTGTCCAACAAACTAAGTAAAAGTAGTATGAAGCAGGACCAGGTCCCTGGACTGAAGACACAGCCCCGAGGTTAATGAGTTGTCGCTCTTAGAGAGAACTCGGGTTCAGTCGCCAGCACCTACACAGTGGCTCACAAACACCCATAACTCCAGTTCCCAGGATCCAATGTCCTCTTCTGACCCGAGGGCCCCAGGCACACACATAGTGCACACATACACGTGGGCCAAACACTCCTATACACAAAATAAATAACCTGAGTATTTGTAACAGTCAGGTCCCCATTCTTAAGGCCTCTGCTGAACCAAGGACTGTCCAGCTATAGGATAAATCATCTCCCTTCCCTCAATTGTGTTTTAGGCCATGTGTTTTCATACTGTTCTCTGCCAAGAATTTTGCTAGCAAGACCTCAGTACGATCAGCACAGACATGGCATCTCTTTGCTTTAATCCTCTGTCACTTACGAGCAGACACCTACTTACTGCTGACATGCCACACCTCTACCATTCATTGAGCAGATTTTCTGGGGATAAGCAGTAGAGCCCAAACTTCCCAAAGCTCTACTAAAGGAATTAAACTATCTTCCAGAACAAAAAATTCCATCAACCTGATTTTAGAAGCAACTGAAATTTAATACCTGACTCAGAATGTCCATAAGTCAAAGTCCTGAGAACTAACAGAACAGTTACCAGACACTCATGCATAGAGAAATCCCAGCTCTACTATGTGACTTCCAGCAAATCCTTACCCAATTCTTAAGTTTCCAAAATGTAATAGAGGTTGTTACTATCCACTTTACCAGAGAGAAGGATAACCAAAACCAGGTGGATAAAGCTCATAAATTATTACAACCCACTGAATATTTACTATTAATATTCATAAATGGGCCGGACAGTGGTGGCGCACACCTTTAATCCCAGCACTTGGGAGGCAGGGCCAGGTGGTGTGAGTTCAAGGCCAGTCTAGTCTACAGACCGAGATCCAGGACAGGCACCAAAACTACACAGAGAAGCCCTGTCTCAAAAAACAAAAACAAACAAAAAACAAAACAAAACAAAAAATCATAAACGGAATGAATACTCAGAGTTATCTATTACTAAAGCTTTCACTGTTATCTATAGAACCCGCTGACTGCTAACTGTTATCAGTTCATTTGTATTCTTTGGTTCTTGCACACACCCAAGAAAGCTCTATGGACCCAAGTAACTAGTTTATACTGATATAAAGTCTGGGGGAGAGGTGTCTGAGCACAGTGAAGAGGGTTTTTTGGTGGTGGTAGTAGGGGAAAGTAATGTGAACTGCTCTAAGGTACACTGACAATGAATAATGTCTTTTTATTTTTCTTCTAAAGCGTTACTTGAATTAGCAATCATTTTAAAAATCATTCCCCAAATCAAAGCAAGTAGGTGACAGGTATTATCCATCCCAGACATTGGGGCATTCCAATGTCCCCTCTCATTAGCTTCCAAGTTCATATTTCACCTCCTCATGCTTCCTTTATTCACAACACAGGTACCAACCTTCAAAACACTGAAATTAAGGAGCTAGTAGAGGTTTTATTATTTATTTAAATAAAATGAGCCTACAATTTAAATTCCACAAATAGATCTTTAAAAATATCCTAAAGTTTATGCTCATGGTGTTTACCTTTCTGCCTTAATGGACTGCTCTGCTGTCTAAAAAGACCTAGCCTCAGGATTTTGTGACCACACATAATGAAGCCTTCTGGCAATGAAAACTGAATCTCAAGTTAGATAGGTTTCCCAAGACCTCACAATTTACAGAATCACACAGGACTAGAACCCAGATCTGGTAACTAGACCTAATCCTCTGTACTGCACCATGAGAGAGTAGTTTTTTCTTCCTTCTGAGCATGTCCAAGCTTCTGACATTGTGACATGACATTGTCATTTACAAAGTTCATCCAAGAGAGCCATACAACAGTTATATATAAAACCTCAAAAACCACAAAACAGCATGCCTCACAATTTTGTGTTGGGCCAAACCTAACTGCTCTTCTGGAGCTCAAGGGGTGCCCAGAGGGCTTTATACAAGTCAGACATTACATAATGCTGCTTAGCCTGCCTTCAAACCTTCTGGCAATGAAGTATTTAAAAATATTTAGCCACAAATCTTGGTATTTACCCCAAAAACTAAACTTCTAATGAGAACCAAGCATGATTTTAAAAAATGATGTGTCCATACAATGAAAATATAGAAAACTCTTCAAAAGATTTGAGTTCAAACGTGTTAATTAATCTTTAAAAATGTTTAATATTTAATGTGTAGAGTGCTTTAGTCCCAAATATTTGTAAAGTAAATGAGTCCCAGGCCAGCCTGATCTACAGAGCAAGCCCCAGGCCAGCCAGGACTGTTACACAGAGAGACCCTATGTTGAACCCTCCCCCCAAGAAAGAGTTAATAAAAAATGTAATAATGTTACATTAAAGGAAGCTGCTGTAACTAAAGATAACGTTCACCAAATTCTACAACTGTAACCAATAGTTTTGTCAATGTTTTCATTCACTCCAACCTAAGGTAGAAAAATCACTGTAGCTTGGCATCAAGCATCATTATTTCTTTCATAGCAGTTTGTTTTCAAAACAAAAGAAAAACCCAAGTATGTACACATTCATTTACAGGAAATTCCATCCATCAATAGGTGCATGAACTGTATCACCACAGAAAAGGATTGTAGTCTTTCAAACCATATTCACCCATGAGTCTATAATTAACAAAACTGTATGACCCCAGCAAAGGCGCTGCCTTGAAGCAAAGAGAATCAGAGTGAAACTTGGTACTTCTACAGGAAGAGGCCACGGGACAGGAGTGAGAAGGATTGAACATCCACACCTCCTATAGTTGAGTTCACACGTGTTTCATTTACTTCAGTGTCAAGACTTCAACTGCGAGAAAGCAAAGATCCAGAAGGAATCAAACTCATTCTAACCCTCAAAAGTCTAATAACAATCCCTTCCATCTTTAATTTGGGTCCTAGAAACAAATCTAAAACTTCAAAATGCTTCCAACAAACATGCTGCTCTCTCTTTCCCCCACACCACAACACTGAAATCTTCGAGGAAACGACTTTTTATTTTTTTAAATGAAAAGTTAAGACTAGGAAGATCCCTAAGTAGAAAGGAAAAAGAATGAAGGTCCTAGAAATGACCCTGTATTTATTTCCCTGAATGACTTTATCTAGGAACAAAGGCATTATTTTCCCCAGGGGTCTCCTTCCACAGTTCGGAAAATTGCTTCTGATAGAATTTGGACAAATCTTCAGGTGCTAAAACTAAAACAGTTCACACAGCAAAACCCAAGCTCCTAGGTTAGTTTCAATCAAAGACTATTTGTTCTTTTTAAATGTACACAATACTGTATCTCCCAAAGCACTGCAGAACCAAACTTGTGTATCAAAGTAATAGTTTTTTTTTTTTCTTTTGACAGAGGGATTATTTAAGTCATGAAGGATGTGTAACAGTGTAGCGTGGAAAACAAAAACAAAAACAAAAAACAGACTAAGCTAATCCGTGAAAATATGACACCTTCAATAAGCACGGAAAGAAGAACCAATAGTCCAGGTCTCCCACAACACAACTCTACGATTAAGCTTCACGGCTCACCAGCCCCTCTTTCCAAGATCCGGATGCTTTGGCAAAAGGCTCACCAAGCGGCCCTCTGGCCATGGTTCTGTACAGGGATATGGGAGTGAAACCCGGAGGTCCTGAGTGGGGTTCCACCTGACCTGGGAAAGTGACAGCGACGCTGGCGGGAAAAACCCCTCGCAGGCCAAGTTTCCCCCACCCAGGCACCCTTCCCCCTTCTCCCCACCTTCGAGAATAACAATTATCCAAGGTGGGGGGAGAAAAAAAAGTCTATAATCCAATCAGCGGAGGTCTCAAAAGAAAAAGAAAAAAGAAAAGTTGCTCGTCGCACCCACTCCCATCCGCGGGAAAGCAGACGGCTGCTGCGTGGCTGGTGAGCAGCAAGCCTGTCCCGTCCCCGAAAGCGCCCAGGACGGGCCTGGTGTCTCGGGAGGCCCGGGGAGTAGGCCCGGCCGCTCGCCTCCCGGGCCGGGCAAGACTCCTTCCCTAGCGGAGCGGGTGCCTGCGGCCCTCGGCGTGACCTGGGACGCTAGCTAGCATCGTGTCCCTGGGGGGGTGGACAAAGGGTGCGATGGGGGTGGGGGGCGGCGGACGACGCAGAAGGGACCCGGTGGCCACCGCGGACAACGGCCTAGGGGAGAAGATGGGGGAGGGGGCGGCTGGAGACCCGCCGGACCGGAGGGGTGGGGCAGGGCCTGCCGCGAGGCCCGGGCGGCGGCGGCGGCGGCGGAGGAGGAGGCGGCGGGGTAACCTCTGCATCAGTTACGGGCGGCGGCGGCGGCGGCGGCGGCGGCGTCTGCCCTCCGCCCTCCACCTTCCCTTCCCTTCCCCTCCCCTGCTCCAGGTGGGGACCGGGGGGTTGAGGGTCGGGTTTCCAAGCCTCACCGAAAGTCCTTGTCGCTGGATGTCATTTTCTCCAGCAAGTTGGAGATGTGGTACGAAGCGCTCGCCATGTTGCCGGCCTCGATCCCGCCTGCTGCCGCTGCTCCTGCTGCTGCTGGGGCTGCTGCTGCCGCTGCCGCTGCTGCTGCCTCGGTGGCTGCTGGGGCCCGCGGCGGCCGGGGCTCCTCCTCCCGTTGGCGGCGGCGGCGGCGGCGCCCGCTTCCAGGGTCGCAGCGCGACACGGGCCTGGGGAAGGCGCTTACGACACGAGGTCCGTCGGGTCCCCGGCCAGACGCGGGGTGGAGGGTGAGGTGGGTGGTGCCGCCGCCCGTCCCGGGGAGGGAGCGAGGGGAGGGAGAGGCAGCGACGGCCTAACGACGCCGGGGCTGCTCGCGGAGCAACGAGCTCATGGGGCGGCGCGACGGACGGCGGCTGGGCCTCGCCGGGGGAGCCAGACCACTACTTGCGCGCTCGGGCCGTGCTCGCTCCGCACGCTCGCTCCGCACTCGCCGCCGAGGGCCAGAGGCCAAAGCCCGCCTCCTTCGCCGGGAGGGCTGGCGGGGGCGGGGGGGGGCGCCGGCGGCCGGGGGTATGGGGGGCGGAAAAAGCGGGCGGGAGGGGCGGCCGCCGACGCAGGGCGCTGCGGGGAGGCGGGGTCAGAGTTCCCCCAGGCCGTCCCCGGCGCTCTGCGCAGGCGCCGCCGAAAGAGACGCCCCCGTTGGCTGGCTCCGATGTCTGTCTCCGCGCGGGCCGCCCCCCGGGGGTGGGAGTGGAAGAGGGAGGGGGGCAAGTGGCCACGCCTTCCAGGGCCTGGTCTCGCGAGACTTTGCAGCGACGGTTACAGGACGGGCCGGGATCGGAGTGGAGCGGAGCGGAGCAGGCCCGGGGTTCTTCCGAAGGAGCTGGCTGGGGGGGGAAAGAAAAAGAAAGAAGGGAAAAGATGGGTGCGTTTTAAAGCGCGCGAGGCTCGTGAGCGGGGGCGATGCTCAGAGCTGACCCGCAGGCCCGCGGGAGCACTGTAGAGTGAGCTCTCCTTTTCCGCACGGGTACGCGTGGCCGGGACGGTGCCCCGACGACCCTGCCGGATGGGGTTGCCACGTGAAAACCACAATTCCCACAATTCAGCCGGCGACACGCGAAGGACGGGATTGGCTCCCCGACCTCGAGCTTGCTCATTGGTTGCCAGGGTCCGGGAGAGGATGCTGGGATTTGCAGGCCGGCGACGCGGTCATGCTAAATAAAAACCTTTGCCTCGGCTTGGTCTGTGCTTCTATCTTGAGTGTGTATTTCTCTGCAAGCGTCACACACACACACGTCTGTGTTTCTATCTTGAGTGTTTATTTCTCTGAAAGCGTCACGCACACACGTCTGTGTTTCTATCTTGAGTGTTTATTTCTCTGCAAGCGTCTCACACACACATACACACACACACACACACACACACACACGTCTGTGTTTCTATCTTGAGTGTTTATTTCTCTGCAAGCGTCACACACGCACACACTGTGTTTCTATCTTGAGTGTTTATTTCTCTGCAAGCATCACACACACACCCCGTCCTCATGTCCTCATGTTGTGCTGTTAGTTCGGGCAAGCGCACTGTATCACTTGGTGTTTGGGCAGGTTCCTAGTTGAGACTTCTTTGCACTAATCTTTGCTTTGCTAAAAAGCATTAGGGCCGGGACACTTCGCCCCCTTCATTCAGCCTAGAACCAGCTTCCTTGCTCCAGCTAGGTCCTACTAAGTGTTATGCCCAGATGTCGGGGGACCCCCCAAAAGACCACCACGGAGACGGAATCCCACATGTAAAAGCAAAGATCCTTTATTATCCTCAAGCTCCAGGCTCGGTCTCTTTCCAACTCAGCGATGAGAGCAGAGAGCCCTGAGCTCAGGTGGGGTGGGGTTTTATCATAGTAGAGGTTGGGGTGAGGGGATTTCCAATTGTCTAGGGTTGTCTGTAAAACAAAAAACAGATGTGTGCTAGACCCAGGCCACCTTATCTAATGGTTGGAATGTTTGGGGTGTCGGGTACTTCCCCATACCTGGGTGGTGTCAGCTTAAGGCTTTTTTGGATCTTGGTGTTGCCTGCCAGTAAGGCCGTCACAGAAACTGTGTCTGGGCCCCCAAGCCTGTCATGGCGGCTGTGTAGTCAAGCTGCTTTGGGGCCCCTCTACTGTAAGAATTCCCTACTAAGGCCAAATGTGGGGGTGGAGCACGCTAATCCCTGGACTCCAGAGGCAGGTGTAAGAGAGGCGGTTGGTGAGTACAAGACCAGTCTGGTCTACAAAGCAAGCCGCAGTCCAGCCACGGCTGCAGAGTGCATCCGTGTCTCAAAGGAACCAAAAAGTGTTGTTACGGTTTGTACTCACAGCCTACATCATTTAGTGGTCGGCTTTTGTGTACTTGATCCTGTGACTGTGTCTTCCTGTCTCCTCAGAGAGACAATACAACCATCCTCCAAGATCAGAGGTGAAATAGCCAATCGTTTCTTTACTATCCAAGTGTTCTTACCTGTTCAGTATTTGAGATGTTTCACCAAAGTTTGCCAGTCAGTGATCAAGAGCTAAAAATCTGAGAACTCACTAGCAGTCGTGTCTATAAGAACGAAGAGCCCAGTGAAGAATTGGAAGGATCGGATTTATTTCAGTCCTCAAATAACAATCAATCTTTAAATAGCTCACTCTTTCCAAATACTTCAAACCCCAGCCAAGCTACCTGGATTTGTTTTCTTTTTGATAGATTCATCAAGTAACAGTACCAAACGAACTGTTATGAAATAGTAGTTAGGCTTGTCTTTGGATGTGCAACTCTTTTTTTATCAGTTCCCAACAGACTCCATTATTTGCAGCCAGATACCCTGGATATAGACCACGTTTCCTGCCACTTACTGTGTATCTTAGGAAATTCATTCTAACCTCTCCAAGCCTCAGTTTCTTTGGGAGAAAATAATGACCTTTAGAGTATTGCCTTTCTAGAGTTCAAATTTTAATGTTGGCTCTGGCCCATAATCTTAGTCATTTGGGGAACCTAGGCAGGAGAACCACGGATTCCAGGCCTGTCTGGACTATGGAGAACAGGCAGGGTAGTGAGTGGCTAGTGCTCTTGGAAGTGGAACAACTGTGGGCTGGTAGAGAATCTGAGGCATCCTTGGGGATGCTCTTGAAGACTGGAGTGTTCTCTCTTCCCAACTCTCTCCATAACCATGAGCCAAAAGAATATTATTTCCCTTTTAAGTTGTTTATCTCAGGCATTTTGTCACGAAGATGGAAAGCTAACTAACACAACGGTTACAAATATGGAATAACAGTTCTAGTGAACAGTAAAGAAATGTTTTTCAAAAATCCCCGTGTCAAATTAACCTTAGCTGTAACAGGAAGTAAGTCTAGATTAAGCTAAACTCAGAATTTTACTACTAGACAGTGATCAGAATGGAAGGTTCGAATTGGAAATTTGAGAGAGTGAGGAAAACGCAGTCTAAGCTGTTGGGACATTTCTCCAGCATCAACAAATAGTTTAACAGAGTTCACAAACATCTGGAGCACCTACACTGTGACAAGCACTGTAGCAGACAGTGGCAATAGAATGATGAAATGTGGTGATATATTGTGTTCCTTAATAAACTTGCCTGAGGATTGGAGGACAGAGCCAGCCACTAGATTGGACACAGGGGCCAGGCAGTGGTGGCACACACCTTTAATCCCAGCACTTGAGATCTCATGCCTTTGTGTGGGAAGCACAGATGCCCTTAATCCCAGGAAGTGATGTCTGGACAGAGAAAGGTACATAAGGCGTGAGGAAACAGGAACTTACTCTCTTTAGGCTGAAGATTTCATAGAGGTAAGAACTAGTGGCTGGCTGTTATGTTTCTCTGATCTTTCAGCTCTCACCCTGATAATCTGGCTATGGGATTTTTATTGAAAGAACATCTAAGATTCGAACAACAATGAACAAGACCTGTTCATTAAACTTGAACACTCATCTTGATCCAAACATAAATTTTATAGAAAGTCCTTATATCCTAGGCTGGTCTCGGTAACATGGTTCTGTAATCCAGCCCTGGGAAAACAGAGACAGGGATTCCTAGAGCTCACTAGCAGACAATCTAGCTGAATCTGTGAGCTCCAAATTGTGCAACAGCTTCCTCTGAGATTAAAACATTCAATCCTGTAGGAAGCTTCTTAAATGGGAAGGCAAACAACTCAAAATAGCTTTAGGAAGTCCCTGAAACTGAACAGATTCATTAGCACATTCTCCTCTCACTCCCCCACCCTGGCTAGAGTAGGCAATAAAAGCCGAGAGTCCTCCTCAGAAGGAAGGCAGATGAGCTGCAAAGAAGAAACTGAGAAAGAGAATGGCTGCAAAAAGACTCTCTGAGACCAGACTAGCTGCCTGGAAGAAGAAACCAGCAGAGACTCCTAGAAGAGGTTGGAAGGGACACCCTCCAACCTGTCAAGCCACCTGCAGGCTGTGCAGGGTGCTCCAGGTTCCCAGCTCCTGTGAGCTGTCACTCATGCTGGAGTGGGCCTTGATGATGCATCTGTCTTTGAGTAATTTCTGCTCCTGTAAGTAATCCCAATAACACTCACTGGTTCACCAAGTTGGATTTTGGTGGTATCCATACTTTGGTCTATCATGGGATTCCTATCTGGGGTGAATAGATGTGTGTGTGTGTGTGTGTGTGTGTGTGTGTGTGTGTGTGTGTGTGTGTGTGTGTATTCCTCCTAAGAAAATTTTGTCACACAGCACAAGGTTAGTGAGAGACTCTGTCTTAAGAATTAAGAATTAATGGGCTGGAGATATGGCTCAACCATTAAGAGCAGCAGCTGCTATTCCAGAGGTTCTGAGTTCAACTCCTAGTACCCACATGATAGTCCACAGCTGTCTATAACTATATAGTCTCATGAATTCTGATGCCCTCTTCTGGTGTGCAGATGTACACATAAACAAAACATCTCTCTCTCTCTCTCTCTCTATATA